CCTGTGTGTCTCCCCCCCCACTCTCCCTCTCGCCTTGTCTGTAACCCCGACCCTGTGTTCTCAGGGGAAGGTGGAGGTGGAGGCAGGGAAGGAGAACATGAAGTTTGAGACGGGCGCCTTCTCCTACTACGGGACCATGGCCCTGACCTCGGCCTCCTCCGGTGAGTCATTGGCTGAGTCTGCGCTGCCCTCCAGCTTCCTGGAAGGGCTGGGGGGACACTGAGCAGCACCCCGGAACTGAGGACAGTTCTAGTGGTTCAGGCCAGGCCACTTGGGGTGAGGGGATGTTGGGGGCCGGAGCTGCCGGGGCCTGGTGGAGGTGCCCTGGAGGAGGAGCTGAGCTACCTGTCCCTGGGGCAGGGTACAGAGGCCCTGGGGTGGCCAGGGACGCATCAGTGGTGTTGGCTGTGATGAGAAGTGGACAGCCGTCATGGCCTCTGAGAGGGAAGTGTGCGGCAGTGGGCTGCAGGGCAGGCAGCCCCCCTGGCCCTCTGACTACACCAACAGGCAGAGAGTAGGACACAGCCAGAGGGGCTGCAGGACCCTGCTCATGAGGACTTGAGGGACAGAGGACTTGGCTAAGGGCCAGCTCTGTTGGATAAAGGGACCTGGTTGCTGACAAAGGGGCTGGGCACCTCTGAGAGGTGCTGGGGGAGGTCCTTGGAAGGGCTGCTCTGGCCGCCAGCGTGCCCTCGGCTTCTCTAGTCCTGGGTGACTCAGGTTTCCCTGCCGGAGAGGCCTCCTGCCAGAGTGGGGCCCTGCGAGCCCTACGGCCTCTTGCCCAGCTCACTCCTCATTCTCTGTCCTGGGAAGGGTGACACGGTAGAAAGCAAGCATGCATGTTGGTGCTGGAACAGGCCACTTTTGGAGTGGGTGCCACAGCTCTCGGGGAACCTCTGTGCTGTGCCCGTCATGGAACAGGGGTGGGCAAGACACCCACAAATACTGACAGCCAGCCCGGCTCATCTGCTGTGTCCTCTGCCACTCCACCAGGGTGAGCCAGGGCCTGGCAGGACTGGCCTGGCCCACCTAAGAGCACGTCTAGTTCACTCAGCTCGGGCAAATCTTGTTGAGGAGGGCATGCAGGCTGGGGTGACTTCCCCAGGCACTTCTGCAGCGATGCCCCCTCAACCTGAAGGCACCCCACTCCCCTGTGGAGACGCTGGGAGGGCAGGGACTCCGGTACATGGCACCAGCCTCTCCTTCTCTGCCAGGCTCTCTGGTCTGCCCGGAGCACCCTCCTGCCAGATCCTGGTCCCTTTCTCCACGGCTGTCCCTCTCTGCCCACAGGAGCCTGGGCCCATCAGGCCTGCCTCCCATCCTGTGTCTGCATCTGCCTCCTTCCCCTGTCCCCGCCCACCACTGACCTTCTCCTCTTTTGCTCCAGCGCCTCCAGCCCAGGCTGGGTGTCCGCTCGGCAAGCGGAACTCCCTGCTGTCCTGGCTCTCAGGTAAGGCGGCATGGCTGGAGGAGCTCGCACTGCCACCTGTCGCCTGAGCCTGCACATCACGGCCGTCTTAACCTCTCCCCACAGGCGCCAGGTGGGATGTCCCACCTGGTCACACTGGACCAACCTGACTTGTGCTGGCTCCGCTTGGCCGAGGACTCGGTTTCTGGGCAGCTTTGGCTAGGTTGTAGAAGGACCTCTCCAGAGATCCGTCAGTCCTTGAGAAGGTGTACACACCCTCACAGACAGACAGTCGGGTGGACACCTTCCCCTGCTGTCCGCTCATGATAGGCTGGGAAGGGAGGGTTGCCCCTGGCCAGCCTGTGCCTTCCATGGCCGAAGGTGGAGTCGCTGTCTGCACCCCCTGCTCCGGGCTGCCACACACTTCACGGGATGGCACGCACCCATCAGCTCTCCCTAAAGAGCACCCTTTTCTCCCCAGGCTTTGCTTGCCATTCAGTTGCTTGTGTCTGCTTCCGGGGAGGCTGTCTCATGGCCCAGAGCAGCCCGCCTATGGGGCCTGCACTTCCACCCACCTCGCTAAACACCCCTCTGTCTCGGCTCGGTCCTCTGTGAGGTGGGACACTGGGTGCCCACCTGGCAGAGCTGCGGGAGTAGTGTGTGGGAGGATGGTGGTGAAAGGTTTAGGCAGAGCTCAGTGGTTATCATTTCTGGATTCTTCCTCCATTACTATGCAAACATGACACCCATTCAAGCCTATTTAGGAAGAGGCTGAGCTGTCTTTGGCTTTGGCTGTGTCACCCTCCTGATGCTTGTCCCAGGACCCTGTGGAGACAGCGGGGACCCAGTGCAAGGGGAGCTAGGCTTCGTGTGGGCAGCTGCAGAGGGCACAGAAAGGCCCCGGCCAGGGCTGTAGCCCCCCTCAGGTCAGCACTTCAGGCCTGACTGCCCTGATGACTGGTCACGCCAGCCGGTTGTTCTTCATATTTGTACATTTGGGTTTTGTTCTTGTTTGTTTTTAGAGAGATTTTTGCTATAGGGTGTATGCACTCTCTGAAGACACAGTGATAGAGAGAAAGCGAGAGATCACCCCACAGGGGGATGGCCACACCTCCGCCGTCCCTTCTCCCTCAGTCTGCTCTCGGGATTTGGGGCACGCACGCACACACGCCCAGTGTTGGTTTCAAGTCACTGGGTCTGGGACTTTGAACCACCGTAGGCTGTGTGGGAGTCCTGTGTCACAACCACTACACCTGCTGGCCCTGGGTTTTCCCCCCAAGTTACTGCATGCACTCAGCAATGAAGAGACAGAGAGGGTGAGGGAGAAAGTGCCTCCCCAAGTGGGGTACAGTCACATTGCAGTCCCTCCTCCATCTCTCTCTTGTAGGGATTTGGGGTACATGGACATTCAGTGTCCTATGTTTTCAAGTAGCTAGGGCCAGGATTTGAACAGCAGTTGACCATGTGGGATCCATTGTCCTTAACTATGGGGCCAAAGGGCTGGTCCCAATTTTTTTTTTTCCTTCTTAGCTGTTCTCAAGTACAGTCTGCTAGTTTGATCCGCTTTTCCAATAAATAAATAAATGAAAAGGTGATTGTCCCTTATGACAGCCCCACAGTGGCCCCAACCTCCCTCCCGTCATCTACATTTTTTTTGGGGGGGAGAGTTTTTTTTGCTATAGGGCTCATGTGCTCACTAGAAAGACAGAGAGAGACAGAGAGACAAAGCGAGAAATCACCCCCCAGGGGGGATGGCCACACCGCAATCCCTTCTCCTCCATTCTCTTCTTGGGATCTTGGGCACGCATGCACATGCGCCTGGCATGAGTTTAAGCCACCAGGTCCAGGACTCAAACCACAGTGGACTGCATGGGAATACAGCGACATAGCCATTGTGCCAACTGCTGGTCCCCACAGTAGCAATTTCTAGGAAGCAGATGTGACTTCACTCATTCTCTGCTTTGTGCTTATTCCTAGGAGGCCTTTACTATTCAATCACCATGATGCAAACCTTTTAGCAAAAAAATCTTTTTCTGTGCTTAAAATTACTAGGGTATTGTTTTAGAAATAGAATCACTGAGTCAAACCCCCTCCTAGTTTTTTGTTATGCTTATTGTTTTGAAACTCAGAAGTAACACAATTTGTGGGGAAAATAGAAATAGGAATTCAGAAAAATTTAAAAAGCACCCTCATTTCATTACTCAGAGACAATGTTAATCAGCTTAACAATAACCCACAATCCTCGGACCAACTTCATTACTCAGAGACAGTATTTTATTGTATTTCTTTGTAAGCCCTCTTTTTAATAATTCAGGGCATCAGCTTGTGGGTTTTGTTTTTATTTTTAATTTGCCAGAAGACACGTGCACTCACTAGAGAGAGACAGAGAGGGAGGAGTGTATCATCTCTGAAATATGCCCTTGGGAAAGAATCAAATACAGCCCTGTCCCTGCCTTCAGTTTTTCTTTTGGGACTTTTTTTTTTTGGACAGTTTTCTTTGCTATAGGGCGCGTGCATTCACCAGACTGACAGAGACAGAGAGATAGAAAGCGAGAAATCACCCCCTCAGGGGGGATGGCCACGCTGCAATCCCTTCTCCTCCATTCTCCTCTTGGGATCTTGGGCACGCACGCACACGCACCTGGTGTGAGTTTTAAAGCCTCCGGTTCCGGGACATGAACTGCAGTCAACGACACGGGAGTCCAGCAACATAGACATTACGCTAACTGCTGGTCCCTGGGATTTTGTTTTTTAAGCTGCCAGGTCTGACCTCAGACCACAGGAGGCCACGTGGGACCCAGCCCCTCTAACCACTATGCCATGGCCGCCCCAGCTTGTGTTGGCTTTTTTTTTTTGAGCGGTTTTTGCTATAGGGCATGTGCGCTCGCCAGACAGAGACAGAGAGATAGAAAGCGAGAAATCACCCCCCAGGGGGGATGGTCACGCCGCAATCCCTTCTCCTCCATTCTCCTCTTGGGTCTTGAGCACGCACGCACACGCGCTCGGCGTGAGTTTAAGCCACCGGGTCCCTCGAACCGCGGTTGACTGCGTGGGAGTCCAGCGACATAACCATTACGCTAACTGCTGGTCCCTTGTGTTGGTTTTAAATTCAGTTTCTGGGGTGTTAGTAAGCATTAGTTAAAAGCATCCCATCATTAAAGTAATTAATGTAAAATATTAAGTAATACGCTTCATATTTCTGGGCTTTCTCTAGAACTTAATTAGAGGTGTTACTCAAATTAAACACTTGCACGTAATCCTCTATTTCCTGTTCCTTGATGGCTAGGAATGGGGGGGGTGAGGTGCCACTACCCAATCATAGAATAACCTGGCTGAATTTTCCTCGTTTTTTTTTTTGGAAAGGTTTTTGCTATACGGAGCATGTGCTCGCTAGACAGACAGAGAGACAGAAAGTGAGAAATCACCCCCCGGGGGGGATGGCCACGCCACAATCCCTTCTCCTCCATTCTCCTCTTGGGATCTTGGGCACGCACGCACACACGCCTGGTGTGAGTTTAAGCCACCAGGTCCAGGACTCGAACCACGGTCGACTATGTGGGAGTCCAATGATATGGCCATTATGCCAACTGCTGGTCCCTATATTTTCCTAGTTTTATAAGTGAATGTCAACACTTTGCTTTAAGCACTGAGACAGTGCATTACTCAATTCGGTAACGCTGAATTAAAGCTGTGTTGGCACTGAGGCCCTGGGTTTAGTATGTTTGCTTTTCCACTGGACTATTTGCTGGAGTAGCTAACTTACTCATTAGTTAGTAACTTAGTTGTTTAAGCCAACCCACTTCCTTTTTAAGACAAGCCTGCCTGCTTTCACAATTAACTTCTCCGTGCATTTCATTGTTTTGAAGTGCTCCCCAAAATAAGAGCTAATGATATACAATACATAACTCGTGCAGTTACTTTTCCAAACTAAGGGGCCAGTTCCTTTTTCTAGCGAGGTTCTGGCCTTTCCTTTGCTGGATAGGGAGGCCTGTGCTGCCTCTAGTGGCAGGAAGAGGTGAGCACCCCTCCCACCCGAGGCTCCTCAGAGGACCGCATGGAAAGCATGGAAAGCGGGGAGCTCAGGGGCCTCTGGGTTCTTGTGAGATCAGTCAGCTGCCCCCTCTCTGCCAGGCTGGCGGGGTGCACGTGCAGTAGGTCGCCCTGCTCTCCACTGAGCAGGTTACGTGCAGATCACATCTTTGATTTCGCTAGAGCATTTTAGGGTGTGACAGGGCCTCACATTGGGGGGGCGGGGTGAGGTGCTGGGGGGGCTGGTCATGGTATGTATTTGTAACCAGAGTGCCAACTGTGTATTCTTACTTTTCTTTTTTTTAACTGCCAGAGGGAGCATTCGCTGGCTAGAGAGAGAGGAAGAGAAGGAGAAAGCGCCCCACCCTCACCCCTACCCCTTGGGGCACGGTCACACCACAATCCCTTCTCCATTTCTCCGTCCCGTCAGGATTCAGAGCACCTGGGCCCAGAATGTGTCCCTGGCTGCTGGGGCTGACTGCCAGGGCTGGAATCTGGCCACGTGGGATCTAGCGCCCTGTGCGCAGTGCTTAACTGCTGCCCTATCGTCTTTCTTTTCATAGGTTTTGGGCCAGCAGGTGGTGTAGTGGTTACGTCACTGGACTCCCACGTGACTGACTGTGGTTTGAGTCCCAAACTCTGACTTGAAATCACGCTGAGCGTGTGTGCACGCATGCCCAGATCTTGGGAGGAGAATGGAAAAGGGATTGCTGTGTAGCCATTTCCCTTGGGGAGGTGGTGATTTCTCACTTTTCTTCTCACTGTCTGTCTCTGTCTCTCTCTCCCTAACAAGCGCATGCACCCTAAAGCAAAAACTTCTTAAAA